AAAAATTAAAAAAAAAAGAGAGGTCACCAGTGAGATATTTTATCGGGGTCGGCGCCAGGCCACCGGATGCGCCCGTGGCAGCAACGCTGATCAACCGGCTGTTATTACAACTAGCTGGAAGCGTTGCCAAACCCGAGGGGTGAAGAGGGCACCACCTTCTTGCCGCTCAACAAGCCTACCTATTTTTAGGTCGGCAACCGTCGACTCCCTCGCGGGTTTCGACACCCCGTCAACGCCCCAGCGGCTGCGACACCCCGTCAACGCCCCAGCGGCTGCGACACCCCGTCAACGCCCCAGCGGCTGCGACACCCCGTCAACGCCCCAGCGGCTGCGACACCCCGTCAACGCCCCAGCGGCTGCGACACCCCGTCAACGCCCCAGCGGCTGCGACACCCCGTCAACGCCCCAGCGGCTGCGACACCCCGTCAACGCCCCAGCGGCTGCGACACCCCGTCAACGCCCCAGCGGCTGCGACACCCCGTCAACGCCCCAGCGGCTGCGACACCCCGTCAACGCCCCAGCGGCTGCGACACCCCGTCAACGCCCCAGCGGCTGCGACACCCCGTCAACGCCCCAGCGGCTGCGACACCCCGTCAACGCCCCAGCGGCTGCGACACCCCGTCAACGCCCCAGCGGCTGCGACACCCCGTCAACGCCCCAGCGGCTGCGACACCCCGTCAACGCCCCAGCGGCTGCGACACCCCGTCAACGCCCCAGCGGCTGCGACACCCCGTCAACGCCCCAGCGGCTGCGACACCCCGTCAACGCCCCAGCGGCTGCGACACCCCGTCAACGCCCCAGCGGCTGCGACACCCCGTCAACGCCCTAGCGGCCGCGACATTGGTCGTCTCCCTCGCGGGAGCGGCACCCGTCGAGGTCCATCCGGCCTCGGCACCCGTCGAGGTCCACCCGGCCTCGGCACCCCTTGGTAAGGGCCGTTCGCCCTTACCCCCTCCAGTCCGCCGGTCTTAAACGACGTCGATCCGGGACCGCGGAAAAGTTGCTCAGGGTCGACACCTCAACCTACCGGGGCGTGCCACTGGGAAGTTGAGGCGGGACCAGACTCCTCCACTTGGTCCCATAAAAAAAGAAACAAGGGGAGCCGTTTTTACTCTGATACCTGAAAGAGAACGTCAATTCGACTCCGATACCTGAGAGTGTCAATCCAACCGGTTCCTGAACGAGAGTATCCAACGGGCCCCCCTTTCTGAACGTGAGTGTCTTCCGACAACCCTATCTAAACGAGAGTGTCATTGTATCTCCGTTACTTGAATAAGGGGTGTCAACCTATCTCCGTTACCTGAACGTTGAGCGTCATCCTATCTCCGTTCCCTGAATGAGTCAATCCGACTCCGATACCTGAACGTTGAGCGTCATCCTATCTCCGTTCCCTGAATGAGTCAATTCGACTCCGTCACCTAAGAGAATCAATCCGACTCCGATAGGTGACCACAAGAGTGCAAAAGATGCCATTGCAGGGTGAGGTGGAGCACGGCCTTACCCCTCCTTGGACAGTTTCGCTGGCCCCCTGTCCCGGGAGTAGTTGAGGGGTTGGCCTCGTTCACCGGTGCGCGCCGCTCAGTGGATGAGTATGGTGCTGCTGATGGGGTATCGAGGGCACGGCTTTACCCCCACTTCCCTGGACGGTACACTGTCACCTACCGGCCGGGAAGTAGGATAGGGTGACACCAGAACAGGTAAGTATCGTTCCTGAGACCATTTACAGGTCAAGAATTTACTTGAGAACAGATGACTACATACTACTAACTTCACAGGGGACGCTAGTCCACAATCAAAGTCGCTCCAGCGCAAATTGCAAGGTACGTACCATTGACAAGTTGAACTTCCAGCTAAGAGCAAACTACTAACATCTCTAGGCTTGTCCACAGTTTATGTGGGTCCACTCTAAATCTAAAGTGGACCCACATGTACTGTGGATGGGGCGACCAGGTCATCAGGCGAGGGGCGATGAACCTGGACCAGAGGGAACCGACGTTGTGGAACGATGCGTGGAGAAGGGGAAGGTTATTGGTTGATCCAACGAGATCCCAGGCTCAGTATATATAGCTATATAGGTCGACGGGGGGGGAGGGGGGGGGTGTAAGTACCACAATACGGGGAGTGGAGGCGAGTNAAGTACCACAATACGGGGAGTGGAGAAGATTTTGGAGGCTGACTTTGTTTGGCGCCCACACTGCTTCTGGAACAGCCGCTGAGGCCGGTGGTGACACTGGTGCTAAAATCGATTTTGAACCGGTTGTGGGTCCTGAATCCGGCGCTGGCGAAGGCGCTGAGCGACAGAACCGGTGCTGGTGAAGGGGGTGGTCTCTGAGACCGGCCCCATATTCGGCCCCATGATCGGTTGTGGATACTGGCACCGGCACTGGCGGAGGTACTGGGCTCTGGGGGTTTGAACTGGCTTTAAACAGATTGCTGGGTCCAGGAACTGGCGTTGATGTTCGTGCAGGGATCCAGCGGTGGGCCCGCAGATCGGCTGCGAGATCGGTTGTGAGCCCTGAGAGTGGTGCTCAAATCAATGCTAAAGCAGATATCACTGTACGACTTTATCTTTTGCGTCTTCGCTCAAAGGCATACTTAACTCGACACGGTGGGTAATATCAGTGCAAGTCGTATTATTATCTTTCCTGAAGAAACTTCAGACCTGCGTTGTTGCTGGATTTTTCTCGAACGATGTCGTATACTTGCATCTTGGTATACACTTGCTAGAAGTGGGATAAAATTGGACAAAGTTTGCTAAATGGCAAACCATACAGTTGTCAAAGACTTCACCACCGCCAAGGTTCATCCTGTCACACAATGCAGTCCAGGAAGAGATTGTGGCACGATCTTGCTGTGTCCCTCATAAATGGTGGAATTTTCTGAGCTAATATTTATGTCACCAGCCACAGACGTCAATAACTGTAAACACTGAATGAATACAAGACCCTTCACAATTATGATTGCTGAGATTTGCTTGTCTTTATCAAAAGTGGGCTCATGGTGTTGGTGAACACTAAAAGTGCTCAGACTGCCTATTTTCCGGATGCAAAATCGGGCCACATATACAATGGTACGACTGTGTTTGGCGGAATTAGCAATGGGCCTTTCTCCGTCGCCACGCCCCATTCCTTTTGATGAAGCAGTGTTTGTGGTGCCTGCCGACAAGCCTTCAACTCCACAGGCCCTCTCGAACCTAGTGAGCAATTAAGGGGCCCTCAACGCTGCAAGAGCCGTGTCAAGAGCTTTTAGCGATCATGGCGCAATGAAGATTTTGAGATTTGGTTTGTAGTTAGTAATCTTTACCTCGGGAAGTTAGGTGATAACGTATGTATCCTCTACAACCACCGAATGCCGCCAACACAGCACTGGTTAAGGTACTTGCCACGGTATTTTACCTTGGCTACAAGGCGTGCTATTCGCAGTGAGCAAGTGTTTGGAGGTCTGATGGGTGTGCCACACCTGTGCCAAAGCAGAATATGGAGCAAATCCGCAGTGACACTGATTACAACCCGCCACTATAGCCATCAAGTGCCACCAACATAGCACATATTACAAATTGGTTCTAGTTACAACGGCGCCACCGCCAAGCACTGGCGGCAGCCTTCTAACTTGGCTTGCAGGCGTGACCGCGAGCGTTGTTTATGTGTAGTTGGGCAAATTTCTTGTGTGCTCGAATGAATTTCTTGTGTGCTCGAATAAAATTTTGTGAGGTCGGGTAAATTATCTAGGGCCCTATAGTAATACTCACTGGCAAAATGAGAACATAATTGTAGAGTTGTGAAGAAAGTAACAGTTGCCAGATGATGTAGAGAGAAAGAGTGTGGTGTAGCAGCTTACCTGAGTGATAGAAGGGAGCTGGAGGGGAGAAAATCTGTAGGCTAGGCAGTATTCCGTATTTAATTTTGGCATTCGAACACGACGCTAGAATTAAACACACAAATACTAGGCTGATAACTATATTTACGAAACATATGGCAATATAATATAGGTACGAGAGACACGATTGAAAGAGCGAAAAGTCATTAAATAGTGCCATAACGAGTTAGGATCTCGTGGGCTTCTCTAAAATCAAATTCAGATGGAGACTAGCAATTCACTCGCTAGTGATTGACGTGGACATGACGATTACACGCTGTGGGGGGTGCTTATTGACTCCTCGCTGCCACTGGTGCTGGTCGCCACATAAATTAAAAAAGAACCTCTCGTATGTATTGATTTATCATTTGCACCTTTAATTTAAAGGCGTGTGCCCCCATCCACACGACCAGTCTCAGCGAGAAGTATGCACCACTAAGTCTATGTTTACACTATCTACGCAGTGCTAGAGATATCGTAGCCGATGTCCCTAGTTCGATTCCTCGCCCTCCCGAAATAACCGCGGGCAGAGTTTTTCACGGTGCGACTCCACCACTGGCCCCACCTCGACCGCGGCGCCGCCAAACCATTAATACCCTTCCCCCACCCCTCCGCCCCTTGTGGTCTGACACACATACCCTTCGCCACCACCCCCTTCCGACCAAGCCATGGTGACCCCGACCCTGTCGACCGCGGCGCTACCATTACCGCGGCGTCCTCGGACGATGCCGCCCCACATCAGAGAAGGGTACTTTGGCGACGCCCTCGGGTGCCGCAAGACCAAAGACCTCGTCCCCCTGGCGTCCACAGGCCCCCCTGACTTGTGCCATGTCGCCAAATACGTCGGGTCGCACCTGCTGACGTTTTTAAACCACGATTTCGTTGTCGGCGACGAGCGGCGTTCCCGCGACGACGAAGGCTATATTGGCTACTACCACTACGTCAACGGGCTCGACACCACCGAAATTGACGACTACATATTCCATTTGCTCGGTCTTGTGAGCAACGGCGACGGCGAGTGGAGGTTCTCCACAAAGGAGGAAAGAAAACGCGAATTGGTCGTCACCTACTGCCTGTACAACGTGTTTCTGCGCCAGGATTTCAGAGTACGGATCGTGGTGTACCCTGGCCGCAAGAATACCGCTCATATCGATAAACTGTACCAGTTAGTTGGCGTTACCAAGACTCAGCTGTTTAATGCTACCACGATCCACGAGCTTCCCCCCCAATTCTGGGACGAGTTGAAGGCGTCACAAGTGCTTAGAGTGCTTCTAATGGGCGATAGTCCCGGCGATCAGGTGGTGGGGCTCTGTTCATACCCTGATTACTTTGTGTCTCCAGAATCACTCCAGGGAGCCGCCTATACGCTTGTGAGACAACTACCTCGAGGGTACTTGGCAGGGTGGGACCCTAGCCACGGTGCTCCAACTAATTGCGGCAACGCCGGCGATAAAAAGACCAATTTTTACCGCAATTACTTGGTGGACGGATTGGTAAGGCTATGCGAGCTTGATCCGCTGGGCGCCGTGACCCAGTTTGTCATTGATGAAATTAACGCTGAATACGATGAAGGGGAGTTTGATTGGGTCAAACTACAGGTGTACAAGTACACCCAGGGCACTAATAAGGAAAGAGCCTACTTGGAGCTTATCCACAACTATCTCAGCCAGTACCCGCTCTATACCACCCACCTGGGGCTTGTATTGTTGGACCAAGTCCAGTTCTTGCTTACCAAACGCCACTACCGGCTAGCATTGACCCTATGCCAAAAATGTGTGCTGATCCTCCCCCTTGACTTCGACTGCTGGTACACGTTAGCGGTGTGCTATGTACTTAACGGCGACTTTGGCCAAGCTCTCCTCATGGTCAATCTGTTGCCAGTGGTGATTAAAGCCGCTCCTCGCCGGTATGACGATTTTTACGTGCACACGTTTACACAGCGCAGCGGCGTCGACGAGGCGATTCTGGAACGCACATTCAACGAGTACTTCCCTGAACCGGATACTCCCGGTTTGGTAACCAAGCTCTGGCGGGATCCGTACGTGTTTCATCCTCATTTACGTCACCCGATGGTAGGGCCATGGTACCAGCTGCCGTTAGTACTGTGCTCAGTTAAGGAGGTGGCCTCAGTCAATCACAACTTAGTCCGCTTGGCGCTGGCAGCACTGACGCGTCAACAGTTGTGTGCCCAGCTGCTGGGGCTGAAGATGGTGTCGGTGCTTGACTTCGACCGCAAACTGACGTGGGGCCGGGCCTACGACCTTGTGAGTATGATTGTGGCCATGGCCGGGTGGGACCAGGTGATGGAGCTTAAGCAGCTGGTATTTCAAGGCCATTTGGATAAGATCGAAGTGGTTAACGAGGCTGACGTCGGCAGACCTCAGTGCGAGCCGTGGCTCGATACTTTATTTGCCGTGCTTTATGAGGACCTTAAAGTGGTCATGGCGGAAACTAGCCAGGAAAACCAGAGCCGGCTGGCGGCGCTGTGGCTCATGACGGGTCTTTTAGGGTGGGTGACTAAACAAAACCTCCGAGAACTGATCCTGGCGCTCGTCACGGCCGTCGTCGGGGCTACTGAGGGAGGCAATTTCGATTATTTTGGCACCGTGCAATTGCTTGAGATCTACAACGAGTTCGTGTTGCTGGAATACGGCGATACCAAAGTGGATACTCTCCACGATTTGGGCCCGCGTTTCTTTACCAATAAGTTGATCGTGCGGCTGGTATCCACTGACGTCTACGACCAGTTTGTCAAACAGTTGGAACGAGACTATTTCTCGCTTGAATTTGTCGTCCTCCACTTGATGAGACTAGCGCTGTTTCTGGTGAGATGGTACCAGTACTTCCCGTCCTATTTGGTGGTGCGCGTGCTTAGTAAGCTCTTACTCAGACACGACGCCATGGTGGTGCGGACGACGTTTAGAGTGGTGTTTGAACAGCATAAACGCCGCCCGGCGCTGCTGCTGCGGGGGTGGTTTGGTACCAGCAAAAAGAAGGAGGAAACTCCGTGGCTTTTCGCCGAATCGGATACCGTGTTGGCGTACATGGAGGGGCTCGTCACTTGGCTCGAACACCTCCGCAGTATATAGTTTTAAACGCCGACAAATTTTACCTAGGAAGTAGCATTTCCTGCAGATAAACTCGAGCTAACCGCCGAAGCCCCACCTTTCGGAGATTGCATCCGAAAATACCTATAAATATCGGAACTTCCCCCAATATCACATCAATCAAATTGTCCAATATGCCCTCTGGTTCGTGTCTTTGCGGTGGCGTTAAATTCTCCGTTACGAGCCCTCCCGACCTCGCCATGACCTGCTACTGCCTCGACTGTCGTAAGAACAGTGGCAGCAGTGGCCAACTTCTCGCCAAGTACAACACCGATGACGTCACCATCGATGACCCCCAAGGCCAGTTGACCACCTACATCATCGAAAAGACTCAGCTGGGTAAGCCTAAAGATAAATTGTTTTGCGGCAAGTGTGGGTGTACCATTGCCACTAAGCCCCAAGCGTACGAGGGGAAAGTGACGATTTTGCGGCTGACGTTGTTTGATGAGCTTACGCCTGAGTTTGAGCTGAAGAAGACGTTATTTGACGACGTTAAGTCCGAGTACTTCAGCAAGTGTCCCATCAATTAAGGGGAAAGTAGTATATAGGAGATTTTAGGGAATTGGGGTTTTGGAGTTGCAGAGGGGTTTATATTGAAATGAACGGAACAACCGAGGAAAACTCACTATTTCCTAAGGGAAGGCACTTGGTAGTAACTTATAGCTTACTCCCTTGGCTACTAGGCGTCGATGCGATCAATTCGCTACGGGTAATTCGCTACGGGTAATTCAGAACGAGTGACTGAAGGCCGGAAACGGCCAGCGAGCCAGGGGCCAATCCATCATACGGTTCTTGTAACGAAAATGGCTAAAACCTGGCTAATCATTGTATGGTAGGAGTTAGTGTTTGTTGGAATAAAGGAGAGAGATCTCGTATCTCGATCGTCACAAGCATGGACTACGATAGAGGGAGACCCTCACACGACATATCACTCTGTAAATCACAGCCATAAGCCATTAAGTGATACGACGATAGTTCAAATGCTTCAAGCCGATTTTAATTCCCCTCAGTCTTAACTCCTAGCAGTTGACCTTGTCTCCGGTCGAGGTCTAGACTCAAGTCACTAACGCCTTACCATGATTGGAAATTAAGCCGCCTTGATTTTGATCGGTATACGAGTATTATCTGATTGTCAAACACCGTGACCGCTCTTAACTCCAGGTGCGCCTAACACCGAGTTCCCCTCCTCTATACTACACTCCCATTCTATCATCATTTATTGGTCATATCAATCATCTAATCGGTAAAGGCGTTCCAGCCAAACAACCATTGTTGGAACTTGGTATCAGCCCATTGATCGGGGTTCTCCTTATCGGTGGCCGCCGCCATTTGCCGGTCGCGCTCCTCTTGTTCTTCGCCGTCGGGCAAGTGCCAGATGTGGCCGTTTTTACGGGCGCCCTGCTGGATAGTCTCCACTCTTCTCTTCCGGCGGCGCTCCCACTGGTGGGTGATTTGCGATAACGGCGCGTCTTCCGTCAACATCGCTGCAAGCGTGGCGCCGTCTTCGAGCGCCTGCGCCGCGCCCTGCGCCAAATAGGGCAACATGGCGTGGGCGGCGTCGCCGATAATCACCACCTTACCCAGCTCCGACACCCACCGGGGCAACTGCGGGAGATCGGCAAGCGTCCATTTGAGCACCAGCTTCACTTTGGTCAAAAGGCGCTGGACGACGGGATCGAAGTTGCGGTAGTGGTGCTTCATCTCCTCCAAGTCGCCGGGGACGTTCCACTTGCCCACGGGGGCGCGCCCGGGGTGCGACATCACCATGTTGTAGAGCTCGCCGTTGCGGATGGGGTAGGCCATGATGTGGCGGCGGTAGCCGATCCAGCAGTTCAGGTTGACGTCCTCCATCAAGTAGGCGACCTCGGGATCGGCAAGCATATCCGCTCTCGAGATGGTGGCGCGGTAAGCGCAGTTGGTCAGCGGGAAGGGCTCCACCACCTCTTCGGTAACCACGGCGAGATCGCGCACTCTCAGCTTGATGCCGTCGGCGCCAACGACCAAGTCGGCAGTGTAGACGGTGCCATCTTCAAGGGTGACCAGGGGAGCTTCGGGGTCAACATCCGCCACGCGCGCACCAAACTTAACCTCGATCCCCTGCTTGACAGCAGCATCGTACAAGATCTGTTGGTAGTCAGCGCGGTGGATCAACAAGTATGGGTTGCCGTAGAGCTCAGTCATGCGAGGCGCCAAGTGGGTGGTCGAGAGTGGGGCGCCGGTGTCGTAGCGCCGGAGAACAATGTTATTCGGGCGAGTAACCACTTTGTCAAACTCGGAAAAGATGCCGTATTCCTTCAAGATGCGCACCGAGTTGGGCGGCACCTGGATACCGGCGCCGACCTCGCCAAGGGCGTGGGCGCCTTCAAGGACGGTGACGGTGTGGCCCTTCTGGGTGAGGCCGATGGCGGCGGCGAGCCCGCCGAGCCCGGCGCCGACGATGACGATGTTGAGTGATCTGGTCATACTGGTTAGAATTTGCGATGAAGGGAATGATGGCGCGATGGGGTTGTTTATATGTGGTTGCGTGGCATGAGGGGAGCGTCGGGGACTTGTTCCATGATTTTTTCTTATCGGAAAGGGTATCCTGCGTTTGTTCGGAACCTGGTCGCGACACGGAATTAGCTGTAGGTAAGAATTCCGAATTGTGGGGCAGAAAAACATCCCCACTTCCGCGCGAATATCTCATCGGCCCCACTTAGCGAACGCGAGGAGGGTAATTTAGGTCACGTGACTGTCCCGTCCAGTAAGAATAGTGCCAAACACAACCACCATCGAAATCACCAATTAGGACCAAACACCGATGATTTTTGCCAACACTTGAGTCAGCGCCAGTTTCAGTATTGAAACAACCACAAGTGAAGGATGATGCAAAATACCTGATGTAATTCCGAAATCAGTGGTAATATAAGGAGTTATACGAGATACTCAACTTCCACTGATACAATCAACTGGTCACGATCTTTATGTACAAGTTTGTTGGTTGGGATCTATCAACTATTGGTTAAAGATCCCTATTGTAACAGTCGATAGTATCAGTAGTCACGCGTGAGTATTTCAAACACGTCAGTAATGACCTTCAATACTGTCGTCTTCGTCTGCATTAGTAGCTTAATTTGGAGTAGTTACCATTATCGCCATTTTCCTCTCCATTAGCATCATTTTCCTCGCCCTCTTCGTACTCTTCACTTTCCAAAAAAGCATCATTGTAGTCCCACTCAAACTCACAAATCTCGCCGTACAACGCTAGGAGACCAACACAGTGGTTATCCAAGTAGAGGTAGACCACTCTCAGGTTATATTTCACCAGCAATTGTTCGAGTTGGGCCATATTGCTGTTTCGAGGTAAAAACACGCCACAGCTCAGAGCATGGCTAAGCAAACTATCCACAAGCCACGGAAGCTGGAACGGAGTCATTTTGTCCACGTCAAACCCGTTTTCCGTGCGGGTATACTCGGTGCCTCCCCATGGCGGCAGACAGAACATAAATGAGACATTTCCATCATTTCCAACGAGTTTCTGTTGACTAAGCTGGAACCAGTCGCCTGTGACCAATTCCACTTTATCAGCAACACCGTACACCTGACAATTGTGAGCAGTACACGTGATATTGACGGGATTAACATCAATCGCCACCACGCGGTCAAAATAGCGGGCAAACTGGATAGTATTGCCACCGCCGCCACAGCAGACGTCGACAATAACTCCACGACCTCCTAGAAGCTCAGATATAAGCTTAGCGGTGAACTGGGCCACGGCCTCGGGGGTTACCGAGTACCAGAGCTCCAGCAGCATATACACGCCCTCATCGAAACGAGAGAAGAGCAGGTACCGTTTTTGCCAGTAGCGTTTCACGTTGTGTGGTAGAGTGTGTTTGGTATGGAGGAGAAGCTCATCTTCAGGGGCGATGGCCTCGGGATCAGCCATAAAGCTTTACTACCTACTCAGGTGTTAGTCCCAC